CTCATCCCCTGTGGAAAGAATCCGCCTTTACTTTCCCCTAAAGCCCCTGGCTTGGGGTGGTAAGACCCCCTGGTACTGGTCTGTGGGACGTGTGAGTGTGTCAGTCTTGCAGCTCCCTCATCTCGTGGTGCTCGTTTTGGGGGACAAAGACCTGGCACTGTGCTGGGAGCCCAGTGTCCCTCCACCGTGCCAGGGGCATGGGGAGAGCAGCTGGGACCCGTCTCCCATGTCCCTTCTCCTCTGCCTGCAATGGGCAGTGCAGGTCCCCCATGGAGCCCCATGGGAAAGGGGGTCCCGTCTGGCGGGGTGGGGCCCCAGGGCTGTACTGTGCATGCTCTCCCTGGCTGCTCCCTCTTCTTCCTCCCACCCCTCCTCTTCTTCCTGCCACCGCCCTCCCCCGCTCCTTGCTTTGTTTCGCTGCCTCCGCACTCATCCTCCCCCCCATCCTCTTCCTCTCCATCTCCTCCCTGCAGCCCGAAGCCGCCCCTCCCCTCCATTCCTGCCCCCCGCCCCCGATCCCTCCCCGCTGCCTCTCCGGGGTGCCCGGGCAGACAGAGGTGCTTGGCTGAGACCTTCCTCCCACCTCCCCCCAGTATCCCCCTGGCAGCTCAGGCCTGGGCAGGGTCCTCTCACTGGGTGTGTCTGACCGTGGGCCGAGAGTCGCTGGCGCTGTGCCCAGTGCCGGTGCCATGGTGGCCCAGAAGACAAGAGGGGACTGGGGAGGGACCCCATACCCTGGGTGTCCATGGGCAGCAGACCCCCGCCGTTGGCATCGCTCCCTTTCTCTGTCTCTTCCTGTTCTCTCGCTGGTTTTTCCCCTTCCCCGTCACCATCCCATCCCCTTCCCCATCCCATCCTGTGCGCTGTGGCTGCTGTTCAGGTGGGCATCTCCCAGGGCCATGAAGGGACTGGCAGGAGCAGACAGCTGCCTGCAGCGGAGAGGCCGATGTCCCTGGCCACACTCCGTGTCCCTGCAGCTGACCTGGCTGTGGGGATGATATCCGGGCACAGTAGGGGTTCCCCACTCCTGGGAGTCACTGCCAGGAGCTTGAGGGCGTGCAAGGAGCCAGACCCCAGCCTCGGTGACTGATAGCCTGGCCAGAGAGGACATGTGGTGCTGGGCATCCGCACTGGCATCACCCACTTTGGTCTGGGGTTCACTGGGGATGGTGCTAAGGAAAGTGGTGATGGCTGGAATGAGCCCCTCACAGCACAGTGTCTGTGTGTGGGGTGCTGGGGCTCACGGCCGTGTCTCTCCCTCCCCAGCCATGACGGCGTAGGCCAGTGGCGAGAGATGAATCGGTTCAGCGAGTGCGGGACGCAGACGGATGCGGTGGTGGTGCTGTCCCTGGCACAGGCTGCAGTCCTGGGCCTGGTGTCCGATAATGAACTGCTTGGGGCCACCATCACCCCCACCGGCTTCTTCCCGGGGCTGGCCGGGGAGCTGCCGGACAACACCACGGCAGAGCCTGGGGAGCCCGAGGGCGAGGAGCAGGTGCCCGGGGATGGGCAGGATGAAGACACCCTGGAAGCAGAGTTCTCCCTGGAGAAGCACGCCCGGAGGAGGAAGCGGCCACCTGTGAGGCTGGTGCCCAAGGTCAAGAGTGAGAAGGCAGAGGTGGAGGCAGAAACGTCATACGACACGTCCGTCCCCGGGGACGACGAAGGCGAGGGGCAGCGAGGCCACCCGCCCCAGCCCCCAGAGCCCGGCCAGGAGCCGGCAGTGCATAGCGGTGCCATGAAGATGATTGACCTGGGCACCTTCAGCAGGAAGCCCCGGCGCCTGCGGCACCTGCGGCGGCACCGGGAGCTGGAGGGCACCGAGCGGCGCCGCGGGGGCGGTGACCCAGACGGCGGCCCCGCGGGGGCCCTGCGGACCACAGGCACGTTCGAGGCGGGCGCCCCGTCCCCTGGTGAGGTGGAGGCCCCCGCGCCGGGGGACCCCGAGCAGGTGAAGAGCGAGCAGGGCTGTGGCTGGCAGGAGCCAGGGGAGCTGGAGGCAGAGGTGGCCGGTGGCACCAGCGAGCGCAGCAGGAAGGCGCAGCTGGACCGGCTGGACATCAACGTGCAGATCGACGACTCCTACCTGGTGGAGGCCGGGGACCGCCAGAAGCGCTGGCAGTGCCGCATGTGCGAGAAGTCCTACACCTCCAAGTACAACCTGGTGACCCACATCCTGGGCCACAATGGCATCAAGCCCCACTCCTGCCCACACTGCAACAAGCTGTTCAAGCAGCCCAGCCACCTGCAGACCCACCTGCTGACCCACCAGGGCACGCGGCCCCACAAGTGCGGGGTGTGCAGCAAAGCTTTCACCCAGACCAGCCACCTGAAGCGGCACATGCTGCTGCACACTGACATCAAGCCCTACAGCTGCCGCTTCTGTGGCCGTGGCTTTGCCTACCCCAGCGAGCTGAAGGCGCACGAGGTGAAGCACGAGAGTGGGCGCTGCCACGTGTGTGTGGAGTGCGGGCTGGACTTCTCCACGCTCACCCAGCTGAAGCGACACCTGGCCACACACCAGGGCCCCACGCTCTACCAGTGCCTGGAGTGCAGCAAATCCTTCCACTACCGCAGCCAGCTGCAGAACCACATGCTGAAGCACCAGAATGTCCGGCCCTTTGTCTGCACAGAGTGTGGGATGGAGTTCAGCCAGATCCACCACCTCAAGCAGCACTCGCTCACGCACAAGGTAGGGCCTGGGGATCCCCAGGGGTGCTGCCCTTGCCGTGCTCTAGATGCGGGTGCTGGGGGAGAGGGGTGTCCCAATGTCCTGCAGCCCTGGCCAGGCCTGGGAGGAGATGGGTGGTGAGTGGGCAGTGGCACCTGTGGCTGGTGTTGCTGGGGTCCCTGGGACCCAGCCTCTGTCCTTCTGTGTATTCCCATCCTTGGGGAGGGAGTTTCAGACCTACTGCAGGGTGACCCGGGGGACCCTGGCCAGGAGTTGCCACAGGCCCTCTGGGTGGGCTGTAAGTGGGGATTTGCCCTTTTCCAGAGGTTCTTGCATGGGGCTGAGCCACAGACCAGAGCTGGGACAGAGCCTGTCCAGCCCCCACCCACAGCCCCTGCATGCTGCTGGGCTCAGGCTGGGCCATGCTCTCAGCACAAGGAGCCCATCCCTCACCCATGGTGTCCCCGCTCCATGCCCAGCACTGCCCATGTGCCCCCGGCACCTGGGGGTCTTGTCAAGCCCCTGTCCACAGCTCTCCCACCCCTGGCAGGGTGTGAAGGAGTTCAAGTGCGAGGTGTGCGGGCGGGAGTTCACGCTCCAGGCCAACATGAAGCGGCACATGCTGATCCACACCAGTGTCCGCCCCTACCAGTGCCACATCTGCTTCAAGACCTTCGTGCAGAAGCAGACGCTCAAGACCCACATGATCGTGCACTCGCCTGTGAAGCCATTCAAGTGCAAGGTACCGGCGGGACTGGGGGGCTGGCAGAGCCAGGGAGGGGGAGAATGGTCCTTTTGTGCAATGCCCCTGGGAATCTGGCCAGGCTGAGCTGTCGGGCACTGGAAGCAGATTTGTGATGCCTCCCCTGCTTGCTTCGGCATGGAATATCTGCTCCAAGCTGTGGTGGGAGCAGTGCTGCTGATGGAAGGACAACCACTGCCTCTCTCTGATCAGTGTTGGATGCTCTGGAGCTCCCAGCGCCAGCACTGCATCCCCAAGCCCCCCACACAGAGGGGGAGGAGGGCATGTGGCAGGAGCCACAAGGGACCCCGGGGGGGCAGCAGCCCCTTTACTCTTGGAGGGAGCCATGGGGAACCTTTGGGGCAAGGTCTGCTCTGCAGAGCCCTTGGCAGCTCTGGGGGTGCCCCCGTGCTGGGGAGCCCCGGCTGACCATGGGCATGCTGCTGGCAGGTCTGTGGGAAGTCCTTCAACCGCATGTACAACCTGCTGGGGCACATGCACCTGCACGCCGGCAGCAAGCCCTTCAAGTGTCCCTACTGCTCCAGCAAGTTCAACCTGAAGGGCAACCTCAGCCGGCACATGAAGGTCAAGCATGGGGTGATGGACATCAGCCTGGACAGCCAAGGTGGGTCCCCAGTGTGGACTGGGCACTGTGGCTGCCCCCAGCAATGCCAGTGGCTCCGGGAGCTGGGCTGTGTTGTGGCAGCTGTGGCAAGTTCATGTCTCCTCACCCAAGGGCTGCCCCCACGAGTGGCCTGGATTGAGCAGGGCTAGGGCTCCCAGGGAGCTTTGGGCTCCAAACCCAGGGAGGGGGGAGCTGCTGGCCCAGCCCTCCCCACAGGTCTGTCACCGCGTGTCCCTGTGCTGACTCCTAGATGCCATGATGGAGCTGGCCGGGCCCGACCACGCCGAGCTGGATGGGCAGCAGGAGATGGACGACTTTGAGGAGGAGAACTCTTACAGCTACGGGGCAGTGGGCAACCCCCCGGACGAGCACGCGCTGGCCGAGCAGGCCATGAAGGAGATGGCGTACTACAACATGTTGTAGCCGGGGCTGGCAGGGCTGTGGGGGCTTGGCAGGGTGAGAGGGGCTGCGGCATCCAGCCAGACCCCCTAGAACTGGAGGTGGTGCTCCTGCTGGGGTTGGAGAACACAGGGATGTCCAGAAGCCTTTGCCGGACCTGCCGTGGCTCCGCTGCTGCCCCCCTGCCCGCGCCCCGCGCCCGGTGACTTGAAACTGCGGGCAGGGGAGGCACAACCCAGAAAATCACTGAATGGGTAAGGGTGGAAGGGGCCACAGTGGGGCAAGATGATGAGCATCACTAACTATTCTACCTCCTGGGTCCCCCCTCGGGTGTGCTGGAGCTCCCCCCGGGCTCCCCAGGGGGCAGAAGCCCCTGTCCGCGGGAGGAGGTGGGTGTGCCCTCCTGCTCGCCCTGGGGCTCCCTGTGCCAGGCTCTGGGGCACAGAACAGAGTATTTTCATAGAAGCTCAGGGCGCAGTCGGTGCCCACAGCTCGGGGTCCAAAGCTGCAGCCGGCGGCATATCCAGGGGAGGCAAACCCAGCCCAGCCCCAGCAAATGATGGTATTTTGAAAGTAATTTATTTTTTTCAGATGTGCCGCGTGGTTGGATTTATCTTTTCACCGAGTTCAGTTCCCTTCAACCAATGTGCTTTGTAAACCCGTGTAAGCTGTGTGGTCTGTGCTGGGAGCCGGGGGGGGCTGCGGGGGCCTGAGAACAAACTGGCACCCCCTCCTTGCCCCTCAGCTGCTCTAGGGTTCAGGAAAAGGTTCTCGCTTGGGCAGAGGTGGGGGTTTGCCTCCTCCATGCCCAGGGATTAGGGAGGAAGCAGCTGGGGCAATGCTGGGTCCAGGACTGCTATCTAGGCTCCGCACCCTCCCTGCTGTGGGATTGGGGTTGGCAGCACCCACATAATTTCCCCCAAGTGTGCCCAGAGCTGGAGAGGGTCCTGGTAGACATCAGGACCTCGGGTCCAGCCAGAGCACAGGTTTTGGGACCCCTGTGCTGACCCCCCCACCCACTTTGTGCCCTTGGCTGTGCTCCTTGGGGCTGGGCACCACGTGCCCCATCCCCAGAAGCCCTGGGCTGGCTCTGGAGGTGGCCCCACTCAGCCTCCCCACAAGGCAGTGTGCCTACCACCCTTGCCCTCCACCTCCTCCCCTGCAACATCATCCAGCCTGGGGGCAGGATGGAGATGGCCACAGCTTTGGCCAGCCCAGACCTCTCCTCAGCATGGCAGGGCTGTGCCCCTTGCCAGTGTGGACCCCCACACGCTACCTCTGGCCAGTGCCAAAATGCTGGGGCACACGGCCTTCCAGGCTGGCGAGGCTGAGCCGAGGGGTCTGGTACTCCCTGTGCCCCCCATGCCCACACTGCAGAGCTGTGCTACTATGATGTGCCATGGCTGGGGAGGTGTTTAATGGCACCACAGAGTTATGGAATACATGAATCAGTTCAGGACAGACCCCCCCCCCAGCCCTACAACTCCTGCTACAAAGGCTTTAAAAACACTCATAAGAAAACTGCTTATAAAAACGATTCATCTGTTCCTGAGGAGTGTCAGGGAGCTGGGGGTGGCACTGGGCCCCTCCCTGCCCTATCCATCCTGGGAACAGCAGGGGCCCCCTGCCCCCTACTTCTTGCCCAGGGCCTTGTCCAAGTTGTTCTTGATGGTGTCGAGGAAGTCTGTGGTGTTCACAAAGTGCTCATTCAGCTTCACACTGTGGGGACAGAGAGGGGTTGGGGGGGGGATCCCTGCCCACCTCCCCTCACAGGCAGCACGGCCCTGAGTTGTGAGATGTGACCCTTGTCCAACCCCACCAGCTGCGAATAGACACCCCAAGTCCCCAGGGACTTTCCAGAGACCAGCAGCTGCCTGTGGCCACTGCGCAGGGCCAGCCTGCCCTTGTGGCTGCCCTGCGGGGACAGCCCGCCCTTGTGGTCACCCGTGCAGCCACGTTGCCCTGGTGCAGACGGCTGCCTCCCCCCTGCTCCACCCCCAGAGTCACCCGTACTTGGCGAGGCCGTGGATGCAGCCGGCGAGATCCTTCGTCATCGTTCCGCCCTCCACGGTGTCCACACAGACCTTCTCCAGCGTCTGTGCAAACCTGGGGGTGGCAGCGCCGCAGCTCCAGCACAGCCAGCACCAGACCCTGCCACAGCTGTGCCTGGGGCAGCTGCTGGCAGGGACCCTCACCCCAGGGACCCCCACCCCACCGTGCTCACTTGATGAGGTCGGGGTTACTGTCCAGCTTGCCCCGGTGCTCCAGGCCACGCGTCCAGGCGAAGATGCTGGCAATGGGGTTGGTGCTGGTGGGTCGTCCCTGCGTGGAGAGAGCGGTCAGTTGTCTGGTGCGGGCACCGCACTGTGGGCCTGGCACAGGCAGGTCCTGCCGGCAGAGCACACCCACCTTCTGGTGCTCCCGGTAGTGGCGGGTGACAGTGCCGTGGGCGGCCTCAGCCTCGATGGTCTTCCCATCCGGACACACCAGGACGGAGGTCATCAACCCCAGGGAGCCGAACCCTGCAGCAAGACAGGGGTCAGGGTGGCTCTGTGAGGGTGAGCACACATAGCCCACCCCACCTGTCCTCTCCTACTGCCCCACCTTGTGCCAGGATGTCTGACTGCACATCCCCGTCGTAGTTCTTGCAGGCCCAGACGAAGCCGCCAGAGGATTTCAGCATCTGGGCGACCATGTCGTCAATGAGCCGGTGCTCGTACCAGATCTTCAGCTTGTCAAACTCAGTCTTGTAGTGCCTGGGAGCCCAGGCCGGGGGTCAACTGCGTCCACCCCAGGTGGGTCCTGCTGCCAGCCCCTCCTGGGCAACCCCCCACAGCAGCCCAAGCCCCCCCAGGTCCATACTTATCAAAGATCTCCTGGAAGACGTCCTTGAAGCGCCCGTCATAGGCCTTGAGGATGGTGTTCTTGGTGCTCAGGTAGAGTGGCCACTTCTTCTGGATGGCGTACTGGAAGCAGCTGTGCGCGAAGCCCGAGATGGACTGCGTGGGAAGTGCACAGACCCCCTGGGACTCTGACCCCCCGCCTGGCAGCTTCCCCAGGGTGGCAGGGCACGCTGCCCCGCAGGGACCCCTCCAGCCCCACCGGTACCTCGTCTGTGTTGTACATGCCCATGCCCACGCCGCCACCGGGGAAGTTGAACACCTCCCACTCCTTGGCCCCACTGCCATCCTTCGGCGTGAAGACCATCTTGAACGTCCCAGACTTGCTCACCACGAAGTCAGTGGCTTTGTACTGTGGGGGGCCGGGCAGAGCATCAAGCAGTGGCCACAGGAGCTGCTGGACATCCCCACACCGCCAGCCCCTGCACCAGGCTCACCTGGTCGCCGTGGGCATGGCGGCCGATGGTGATGGGCTTGGTCCAGCCGGGCACCAGGCGGGGGATGTTCTTGCAGATGATGGGCTCTCGGAACACTGTCCCCCCCAGGATGTTTCGAATGGTGCCATTGGGGCTCTTCCACATCTTCTTCAGCTTGAACTCTGTGGGACATGCAGAGGTGAGACCCTCAAGGACCCCCAGACCCCCAGAAGAACCCAGCCCCTGCCAGCCCCCACTCCACCGTGCTGTGGGCTGACTAGGTGCTGGGCTGGCCAAGGGGTGGGACAGCCAGCGCAGAACCGTGACTGGCATGGGGCAGTTTGTCCCCCAGCCCCATGCCTGTGGGGTCCCCACAGCACCCACAAGCCCCCCAGGATGGGGAGGGAGACACAGCGCTGAGCATGGTGCATCCCCCAGCCCACCAGAAACCTGAGCTGGCAGGGGGGAAGCACTGCTGACCCCGAGGGGCTGCACACAGACAGGGGGCTCAGCACTCCATGGAGCTGCCAGCACCCCACACTGTGGTGGGAACTCGGCCCCTCACCCCTGCCCACCTTCCACTCTGGCTTCGTCAGGCGTAATGGTGGCACACTTGACAGCCACACTGTACTTCTGGGTGGCCAGTGCCGAGTCAATGGTGACTTGGTCATCTGTCTTGTCCCGGTGTGGCAGTCCCAGGTCGAAGTACTTCAGCTGGACATCCACATTGGGCAGGATGAGCTGGGGGGCCGGGAGAGCATCAGAGCAGGGCGACAATGTGGGGTGCCTGGGGAGCAGCACCCTTGCACAGCCAGTCCCAGCACCCACCCCAGCACAGCCCAGCTGCCTGCCAGGGACCGTCCCCCCCCAGCCAGGATGATCCCCTCTGCCTGGGATGGGCCTCCTTGTGTGGGATGGGCCTCCCCACCCAGAACAGTCCCGCCTCCCTGGGACCCTCTCACTTCCAGGCCTTCCGGAAGCTGCGCTGATTTTACCACCTGCTTCCTGCGGACAGAGGGACGGAGGTGGGAGGGACGGACGGAGACCAGCACAGGCACCGCTTGCTCCCCATACAACCTCCTCAGCTTCACTTGTGGCACACCCACCCATTCCCAGGGCAGGACCCCGTCACCTTCTCCTTGATGAAGGCCCAGATGATCCTCGTCATCTCGTCCCCATCCATCTCCACCACTGGGTTGGCCACCTTAATCCGCTTGTCAGCATCTGGGGAGCAGCTGGAGGGTGTTAGGGGTGCACCCCTGGCCCCGCAGCTCCTCACCCTGGTGTGTGGCCAGGGCGTCCTGCGGGGACCACACAGCCCCATCCGGCCAAGTGCGGGTGCCACCCCAGCTCAGGAACAGCTACAGGTCGGGGGCAAACCCTGCTGGGGTCCGGGCCAGTTCATGGGTCCAACACTGCTGTGGCAGGGGTCAGGGTGCAAAATGCCCCATGGCAGTGGGACAGGGACAGGTGCACATCCCCCTTGGGGTGGGACCCATGCGCAAGCTGGGCTGCAACGCCCCGGTGAGACTGAGACCAGGACCAGGTGCAACCCCCCTGGAGCCAGGCCCAGGCACAAAACAGGGTACAAATCCCTGCCTGGCTCCTGGACCGGGACTAAATACCTCTGGGTGCCAAACTTGGCTGCGGGTCGGGCTGTAAAACCTCACGTGGGACCCAGACCAGAGGTGACCCCCCCACACACCTGGGCGGGACCTGAGCGCTGACGGTCTGCAAAACTCTACGTGGAGCTGGGAGCGGCAGTTGGAGCGGGAGCAGGAGCAGGAGTGAACCTTCCAGGGGGGCAGATCGGGCGGCAAAACCCCGTGTGGGTCTGGGAGCAGGAACGGAACCCCAAGGCTCCGACCGGGTACAAGCGGAGGTGCAAAACGCGGCATGGAACACGGACCAAATCCCCCTGGGACCAAACTCCCCCGCAACCAAACTCATCTGTAAAATCCCTCGTGGAACCGAGACCAAACCCCCTGGGACCAGACCCAGCTACAAAACCCGGCGTGGGTCCGCAGACGCCCCCCGGGACTGTCAGCAAGCGTGGATGCGGATCCAATTCCAGACATCGGCCCGCAAAAGAATCCGACTCGCCTCCCCGTGGGTCTGGAGCACACCCCCCTCGTGGCGTGCGCAGCCCCAAGGACACGAGGCTCCCCCCCCCGGTCCCCCCACTCACAGTGCCGGCGCTGCCCCGCGCAGGCGGCGGGGAGCGGGCGGCGGGACAGGCGGCTCAGCGCCGGGGCGGCGCGGAGGTAGCGGGCGGCCATGGCGTGGGCGGACGCGACAGGGCGGACACGGGGGCGCGGTTCTCTCCGCCCCGGGGCGGGACAGAGTCCCGGCCCCCGCCGTGGGGCCCCGCGAGAGCTTCGGAGGGGCCCGCTCGGGGTCCCACGCGGAGGGCTCGGGCCCTTGCCGCATCCCCCCCCCCGATGCCAACGCACAAGGTGACCAGAATCCGCAGCGGCCCACATTCCCAGCAAAGGGATGTGGCCTTCCTGGGTACATCGGGGTTGCAGACACGCGGCCAACCCCCGCGTACCAGGACCAAACCAGGACCAAACCCACCTGGCATCAAACCCGGCTGTAAAACCCTGTGTGGAATCGGACCAGACCCTCCCAGGACCAGATCCAGCTATAAAACCCTGCGTGGGACCAGGACCAAACCCCCACAGAACCTGACCCAGTTGCCAAACCCCACATGGATCAGGGACCAAACACCCCCCAAGACCTGATCCAGTTGTAAATCCCCACGTGGAACCAGGCACGAACCTCCCTCCAAGGACCAGACCCGACAGCAAAACCCCACGTGGGACCAGGAACAAACCCTGCCCTGGAATCAAACCCAGCTGTAAAACCCCTCGTGGAACCAGGAACGAACCCCCCTGGGATCAGACCCATCTGCAAAACCCTTCTTTAAATCAGGATCAAACCTATGCAGGATCAAACCAAGCTGTAAAAACCCTTGTAGGACTGGGACCAAACCCCACTGCAAAATCCCGTGTAGAATTGGGGGGTACACTGAGACTGGGGACACGCTGCCATAGCCTGTCCCTACATGGAAGCTGGTGTTCCTACTCATGGCTGGCGCGTGACTCGGCAGCTGGATCCAGCGGGACAAGGGCAGCTGCCACTGTTGCACTGGGGACCTTCACCTCGCCTGGCCCCTGCATGGGAAGGAGGAGGAGGAGGAGGAGGAGGAGAAGGATGGGGGTGATGCACACCAAGGGCCCCCCAAGAAGGAGCATGGAGTGTGCTGGGGTGGCCAGGAGGCTGCTTGGGCTAGGATTTGTGCTTCCCTGCTGTCCCAGCCAAGCCTATGGCTTTTTTTAGCCACATGGGATGGGCAGATCCCGCTCCAGGAGGAAAAACAGCTCTGGAGCTGGCAGCCCCCGGCGGAGGGGCTGGGGGGGGGCCGCAGCGGGCACTGACGTCTGCCTGGCTTTAACATTAACCAGAGCAGGAGCCACGGGGCCGCAGCAGTGGGGGGGTCAGCACCCAGTGCTCCAGGGTCCTGGGTGTCCCACTCCCACTACCCGCCCCATGGCACACCACCTTGCCAGCAGCCCCGCAGCCCGCATGCCAGCACTCCTGGGCCTGCCACCCGGCACAGGGCCCAGGGGGCTGCCTGGCTTCCCCCCCCAGATGCCCTCCCAGCTGCCCTTGCCCTGGCCCGCGGTCGGAGCCGCCCAGTGACCGCAGCACTGGCAGGACGAGGTCAGGCCAGCGCGGCAGTCGTCCCCCGCGAGGAAAGGACAAGAGCAGTCATGTGGCACAGGCCCAGGAAAGGCTCCAAACAAAGGCATCATCCGTCCATCCCTGGCTGCAGCCCAGCCACCCGCCCTGTGTCACACCAGTGTCCCCAGTGAGGTGTCCCAAGGGGAACTGGAAAGCTGGCAGGGTTGGCTATGGGGCTGGGATCTCAGCAACAAGTTGGGGACCCAGCCAGGGGATGAGCAAGGACATGGAGGAGGGTCTGCATGTCATCCCCCCGCCCACAGGCAGCCCCATATCTGCCCGTGGGCAGGGGCACCGGGGCGCTCATGGGGGCCACGGGCTCAGTGGGGCAATGTGCCATGTTTCCTTGTGCTGTCCCCAAATGTGGGAGCTGCTGGCCTGCAGGCTGGGGTGGGGGCTGCAGTCCCCCCTTCAGCAACCATCCGACTCCCCCAAGCCTGCTGCAATGCCCCTGCCCCAGGACCCCTATGGGGACCCCTGCCCACCCAGCACTGACCAGTGTTTTGGTGCCCACTATCCCAGCAGCTGCTCTGGGCCCTGCTGACATCCAGCTGGCAGCCACTGGCTCCGAGCGTGCCACCATGGGGACACCCATGGCCATGGTTACCCCAAACCTCACAGAGCCATGGGTCACCATGAGGTGCCCAGAGCCATGAGTTACCCCAAAACTCCCAGAGCTGAGTGTCACTTCCAGGGTCTCACCGTGATGCCTGGGGCCAAGTGTACAGGCACCAGCTGTCCCCACAGCCACCCTTGCTACTGGGCATCCTGAGAAAGGACCCCCAGTGGGTGCTGCCCCCTAAAACCACGCTCCCCGCCAGCCCCACGGCGCTGTGGGCCCCTGGCCGTGGAGAGGGGGCTGGGACATGCAGCCTCGGGGACACCACCATGGCCCCATTTGGGCCAGTGTCACTCCAGCAACGGCGAGGGGGGTCACAGCCCAACCCTACAGCTCCCGCCCCCAGAGCTGAGCCCGAGTCAGCCAGGAGCTGCCGCCCGG